TCTTCTGGAGTTGATAATATACACAAGAAATCACTAGCGGCGGTGGGAGAGAGTTTAGCTGAGCGTTTGGCGCGATTCTTTTAACACTGTTTTGACGAAATGTACGTGCCTGACATGTGGGCACATGGGATAATTATTCCTATTCACAAGGGAGTTAGTCATTCCAATTTAGCCATCTACCGTCTCATAATCTTACCATCGGTTCTTTCAAAGGTCGTGGAAGCTGTTATTTCTGAAGGGCTAACGGCCTACTTGTAAGCATGTAACCACCTCGCACTGGAACAACATGGCTTCCGATGCAATTGATGGTGCACTACAACTCTACTACTAGTACGATCCAGCCGGACTGAAGTAGCAGACTCTGGCACAGGAGTTGATGTAGTCTTTCTCGACTTCTGGAAGGCCTTCGACCGGCTAGACCATAACATTCTGCTCTTCAAACTCCAGACCTTAGGTATTAGTGATCCTCTCTTAGGATGGATCAAAATCTTTCCCCTACACCGGAACTTGGAAGTAGGAGTGCGTGGGTCGCTGTCAGATCCCACACGAGTTGAATGCGGAGTCCCACAGGGATCGGTACTGGACCGAGACTATTTTTGACCTATATTAACGATATCACAGGCCTCATAAGTTCGAGCTGCCTTCTGTATGCCGTTGACATCAAGGTGTGGATGGCAGCAAACACCAGATGATGTCACAGTACTTCAAGCTGATCTGGATAGGGTATACGCGTGGTCAATCCAAAATCTACTTCGATTCAATGTGGACAAATGTAGAGTGCTGCACCTACGGCACAAGTTGGTGTACTTCTACAAACTCGGCAACCAGGAGCTTCAAACGTCTTCTGGCGAGAAGGATCTGGGAGTTTTGGTCCAGATCGACCTTGGATGTTCGAACCAGGCTGAAACGGTGTCAAGAAGGGGCATTCAACATGTGGATCTCCTCAAGCATGCATTCGGACGATTCGGCCCTCCGATGTTTCCACATATTCTTGACGCATACATAGGATCACATGTGGAATACGCAATACAGGTTTGGGAGCCACTGCAGAGAGACCTCATCGCCTTGGAGATAGCCTAACACCGGGAAACCAAAAGTGCCAAGGGTTTATATAATTTTCCGTATGAACATAGGCTTCAAGTGCTCGGGATCTTCAGCGGATAGTGTCGGCGATAGCGCGAGAACCTCATTTTGGCTTACCTGATTTTGAGAGATCCCAACCACTCGTACTGCTATTAGCTAGAGCTCAGTCACAACAGCAAATTGAGAGGTCACCATCTCAAGCTGGTACAGTAGCAGAGTCGTTTAGAATGCTTCGAAATTTCCTTTCCGTACGCGTTTGCCGAACCTGGAATGCCATACCGGAGTCGGAATCTGTAATATGTGATCCCACGCTGGTTGAGTTCGAATCCAGGGTGGGCCATGCACTTAGTTCGCTGCACCATCTTACATGACCTAGAACCCTTGGATAAACACAAGTGACTGTAAGCAATTTCAACGCAGGTCAAATCACAAATGTCGTTCCATGTTTTTCACCTCCTGTATGTGTACACCAGAAGGCGACACGATCTTTACCAACATCCAATTTGTCGTCGTTTCGCATGGATTTACCTTGGATTTACAGTCCATACTACGTAGATTTTAGTGAGTTCACTGTGTAAACCCTGTATTGCTACCAATTTTTATATTTCGAATTTTCACCATAGCCATCCTACGGGACCTGTCAAGCATTAGCTGTCTTACCCGCATACAACGATTTTTCCATTGTGTATGGATGCTGTCCCCTTACAACACAAGACGCATACTCACCTTCAAGGTTCGACAGTTAGACGTACCTAGGCTAGATCGCGACCAACCCCCACCGACAGTTGATAGAGAGTCATAGGAGGGTTTGCAACGTTGTAACAATGTTCGTCACATATGCGGGAATGCGTTAAATGATGTTCGGATCCGAACGCAAAACCTTACAAGGCAGGTACTTATGCCTCTGGCATTAGCTGTACGCCGGTACCCAGTAGCGATGCCTCACTGCCGCGCAACCCCCAACAGTCGCGCATGGGCTAAGGATACTACTGGAGTTGCTTGGTCCCCTATGCAAGCTCGCATCCGCGACCGCAGGATTACAAGTTTGTCTTGTGCTCCTTAAGTCCACGAGTCACTGACCCATGGGCAACGGCGACGGTTCGCCATGACTAGTAACTGGTATGTCGCATAGCTTATCTTCCACTAAAAATCCGTGAGAATATTTGTAGCTCGGGATGCGGATGAGGGTATGCGGGTGTTCTCCGAGCTCATTGATTTGGTTGCAGGCGTTTCATCGTCAGGCTAGACGACATCATCAGTGCGATTTATGCGAGCCACTTGCAGATCCAAGTGATTATTGATCACTTGATTCGAACGTCAGGAGTCTATTGGTCCACGTGAGTTGACCTTGTAGTCAACTCTTGCGTACTATTAGCTAGAGTCCGCCTCAATGACGTTCCTTTGTCCCGTTGATCTGGGGCGGAGTATTGTTTTAACCCTCATTGCACCCTAGGCAGTATCAAGATCTAAGTGTCGGTTGATTGAGTTCTTTCCCGAGTACCAAACCTCGATGAACTCGCGTGCTTTTCGAGTTTTTGCCCTGCCTATGATCCTGACATTCTCCAAATCAAACTGATGATTCTCGGCGTCCATGTGTACCGACATCAGGGAGTTCTGGTCATGTCGGCGGATGGCTAGGCTATGCTCATGTAGCCTAGTGCCGAGCTTTCTTCCTGTCTTGCCCACATAGTATTTGTTGCAATTTTTGCAGTGGATTTTGTAAATCACACCACTTGTTTCTTCTTTGCCAAGTCGGTCCTTACCATTGAAGAGCTTAGACCAATAGACTCCTGACGTTCGAATCAAGTGATCAATAATCACTTGGATCTGCAAGTGGCTCGCATAAATCGCACTGATGATGTCGTCTAGCCTGACGATGAAACGTCTGCAACCAAATCAACAAGCTCGGAGAACACCCGCATACCCTTATCTTCCACTGTCATGCATATTATAAACGCACAGAGAGCAGGGTTAACTCATAAAGTAAAATCATTTGTCCGGATCTAGCGGGATCCGACGGATGTGCGCTGCTGACAACTCCCGGGGTATGAAACCACTGTACAGCACTCTTCTAGATTTGTGGCGGCTGTCTGATTGAGTCTGAGCACAAACAGTGGTTGAAAACGTTTCGTGGCTTGTTTAATCGTCGTGGTGTCGTCGGACGGCTTGGCACCTTGTCGGTATTGTATTGTGTGCTATCAGGATGGGTATATCAAGCGAGGATAGATACGCGACCTGCGATGTTACGATTGGCCACTGATTGATGAAATCGGTTGCTGTGCTTGAGGAATGCGCAACAAACAAGTGGGCGATAGAGGAGGACCCAACTTCACTTGGCCGTAACTGTGTCCCAGGTACATGTTCCTCAGTTCTTGGTTGTTTGACCTTTACGCGCTTGTGAACAGTTGTGGAGAAAGTGCCACTCTTCTCACGGGTGAGAGTAGTCGGCACCGCCGGCAAAACTTCCGAGCTTTAATAGCAGTCTACCGACTGGTCGTTGTTATTGTTAGCACAGCTCATCTCCGGGACTCTGTGCAGGTCTACCATGATGAGGCATCCCCTACCCATTGGAATTATGTGCCGTACGGTGGACTTTATGATACCTTTCGTAGTAGCTCTGTGGATGGTCTAATTATTCAAAAAGCGAGCTGCCGATTGAACAGTAGTTAAGTTAGATGCGCGATCAATCTCGAATTCAGTAAGCGAATCGAGTGGTGATGACAATAGACAGCTGCTATAACCTAGGTCCATCGACTTGGTGGCTTGCTCGATAATTTCGGAGAACATCTCGTTTTTCCGCTGCTTACCATCCTTTGTCAGGTCACCTGAACTCCCTGACCAATGTCCTTTGGAGGTAAATCTGACGCTGGCATTGGCAATTTTTCAGTAGCTGTGGTGACCTCCTTTGCAATGCATGGCAAGCAGATAGATAACCTCCCGACTGGCTGTCATAAAATGGTACGTAAACCTTAAAAGTGAGCCGAAATAACTCTGGGCTGAGCTTCGTTAGCACACCTCGAGCTTTTGTTGTCTTTGTTATTTTTGAGTTGTTAAGTATTTTTCTTGAAACTACTCCATTGTCCCAGCTATTTGCTCCTGCTGAATCCACGTGTTTCCATGTGGAAATAGCACATGTATCGATGTTCGGTCCATTCCGTTCTTCTCAACGAACTCACTCATATCCAAGCACCGACACGTTTTGGCATCATTTGTCCTCATCTGAGTTGTTACTGTACTACATACTAACAGCAGTTAAGTGATAAGTGGAAAAACATACAACATAGTCCGCCGGGTAAAGTGCCGTAGCATCGGACGGAAGGATGACTGAAAGCCGGGCATCGCCTCATCGCATACTTTTCAATTACCCCATGCCAGTTGAGCATGAGTCTTTGTGTGTCATGTACTCTCGCACACGATGAATTTACCAAGCACTCGTGGATCGTCATCTATCTGAAACCATAGAATTAGTAATGACTAAGCTGTTAGCTCAACTCAAAGATACCATTTTACTGAAGTCTAATCGACGTGCAGCAGGTTATACCGTCCATATTTCAGGAAGCATAGCACTTCGAAACTCATTGGCCCACTTGACGAATCTGACAGTGCTTCAGCTGTCCATCCTCTCATTTTAGTTGCCGTTGTTGTACTGGTGATGGCCTTCTCAGTACAGAGTTATATGACTTATGTGATGCCAGCTTGCAGTCACACTTCAAAGTCACGTTCATACTGCCTGTCCATTTGCACAGTAACGGGCTCATAACAGTTTTCCCCTGGATCAACAGAAACTCTTTGAGTATTGTGTGGACAGATTGACCGCAATTTCATCTATTATTGGTCTTCCTGTTACTCATCGAATGATCCATTTTGCACATACGTGTCACGACTCAGCTCTCTTCCCTCTCCTTTTTCTCCCACAGACAAAGTCACTGCGTTGGCAGACACGTTGGATTGCTTACCAATTGAGGAATAACGTTGCTTGGGGTTACCTAACCCTCCGTTCGCGTTGCCTCACACTGTTCCTTGTTATTTGTAACTTGTGTGGTCGATTTGATTCTTATCATCTAGTTTGGACAAATAAAAGGCTTTATTCGTTGTTAGTTTCCTTCTGCCCTCATTGTATGTTATTCCTTTTTTGCACAGCCGATATTTGGCACACCAGATGGTTGTGGATTCGCTTTTGTCCATTCACGAATGAGGCTCTCTCTTTTAGCCTTAACAACATAGGCGTGCTGTACTGTTTAGCGCGTCTGTAATGTATGAGCCATTTATGGTACTCTCATAACGATCATTGCACACCGAGGACTGTTAATAGCTCCAATTAGGGTCATTTGGCTTAAAGACAGCACATTTTAAAGGCTGTGGATCTCCGTTCGCAGCCACCATTCAAAAACGCATTCTTGAAGGAGGCTTTGAGGCACAATAGCTGGTGGCTGCATACTACCCGATCGCATTGACTAACCACGGTAACCGTGTTACTTTTGAAAGCCAATATCATCGACAGATTAACAATTCCCAATTCATAGTCTAGCTGGATTTTTCGAAAATCCTCTTACCCTATTTACTATGCAATTGATGTTCTCGCTGATTTAAGCACTTATTCGCGACTCGCCTAATGTCCAATTCTTTCATCCCTACATTACTTGGTTTTTCAGTAATGGGTTTGCAATGGGTCTTGTGACTGATGTGTTCAATATTCTTCCCAGGCTACCAAAATTGGATTTGTCCTTCTTGCTTATGAAGCACCGGAGCCATTTGCTGACTCATGGATTAACGGGGGTCAAATTTACCAAGATCAATGCCCATCACGCTCTATCGTACTACCTCGCATTTTCCATAAATTTGTAGACTTTTATATTTGTGCGTCACACTTGAGCTGGGTCTGTAGGGGGCATTGGGTCTTGTTTGGTAATCGGCCAACCGAAAGGCTCAAGACTGAGTACTCAGTCACCGGCCCCCAATGGATGCGATTCTCTGATTTCAACATGCTACTTTACGAGTACGTTATTCAATCACTGGCCCAAAGTGAGCTCACTTAAGACGCTCCCCTATTTCAGCTTGGGCAGCAGGGTTGTATCTTGCCCTCTGAGAAAACCATGTACTTTTTTGTGCTGTGCTCCTTTTCCTTTCGGCAACTGTACGTTCCTTTGTTTTCCATGGTTTTTGATGAATCCATGTCTATTCATAGGTTGATGAAAAAATGTACGGTAAGGCCTCCAAAGTTGACCACCTCTATATGTTGGCCGGCTCTCTAGGTTGACCATTCTCACTGCTTGAACAGTCACTATGTAAACCTTATGAAACATGACTGCTGTAGGTTGACCACCTCTGTACGTTGTATATTGACCACTTAGGCTATCACACACTACTAACTTAACCTTCACAAGTTGACCATCTGAGAGTTTACAATCCAATGGTTCCCGAATGGCTTGTTTGTTCCCATAGCACAGCGTATAGCGAGACTGCATGTGCGGACTTCTGACCCATAAATCAGTGAACTTTAGGTTTTTGTGTATGTGCGTGCTCCTCCAGACCGGCAGCGTTGGTGCGCCGCGTATCACCTAGATCATTGCTTGTCCCCACAGAACCGCGCCCACGGAATAACTTACGGTTTGTGTTCAATCTCCCTCACCTGCCCACAAATAGAGGCAGGTCTTCGTCTACCCCTAAGAATACTCATCGCACAGCCGCAATCAGGAAGTTGAGTGACTGCCAAACCAGAGGCGTGGCATGGGGGTGGGGAGGGGCGGTCCGTCCCTGGCGGCAAGTGACAGGGGGCGGCATTTTTAGTATCGTCGATTGTTTGATACCATATATATAGGGCAAAATATCCGGATAAGCTGAGGGTTGAAGATGTTAATGTTACTCTGTATGACCTACAACACATTTGCGCCATGTGTCACATCTGTGCAAATGCTCTTCCCAGCAATCACCTTACTTGTTCCATTGTGGTCACTTTTACCACGTACGTCGGTGTCCCAAACGATCAACCATTTCATCGAAAACGTATGCACACTTCACCCTGAGCCGATTGTGTGACCTTCGCGCGCCTATTCTGCCCTCAGTTAGCGCGAATATTTTACTGTCGCCCCAGGCGGCAAAAGCATCTGCTACGCCACCGTGCTAACCTCTCAATTGACCCCCAGATCTAAGCACCAGTTCATTAGCACCTTGGATTGTGGCGAGATTGACGTTTAGGCCCAGCATTTATCCGGCTGTACTTGGTGTCGGCCCGAGGCTGAAACCAATTGTGGTTACTTATTGTATGTAATTAAGGTTACGTAAATATATCCGTAGACCTTAAATCCACTCCGTGGTTTGAACAATTTAGGATCGATCATTACGAATAATTTAACATTATGGCTTAAATAAAATACCTCAGGGAATTGACTTTGAAGGAAAAGATTAGTCTGCTGCATTTTCTTGAAAGCGGTAGCCAAAAATGGATGTCTGAGCATTTTGGTGTTAGCAAGACAGCAGTTAACAACCTTCAAAGACATAAACAAGAGTACTTGAAAAGATTCAATAATGAAAAAGGAGATCTACAGCGAAAAAGACTGGAACCTTCACAGGATGAAGCCAATGTGGCCACGCCGCTGCGCTAGTTCAAGCAAATGAGAGCAGCTAACACTGGAACTTCTGTGCCTATGATTTAAAATATCGTCAAATAGTTCACACAGGAATTTGGGGTTGTAGATTTCCAAGCATCCAATATTTGGCTAGAGAAATTTAAAATCTGACATGAAATTTCCCTAGGAGATTTGTGTGGCAATTCCAATGAAGTGCCTGAAGAGTTCGTTCAAGACTTCATGGAAAAGTTTTCTGACTTCAGCATGGACTTTAACAGTGAAATTCTTAACACTGACGAGTGTGGTCTCTTTCTCAAGGCGATGCCTAACACTAGCCTTTTTATATAGGGTAACAAATGTAAGAGCAAAAATCATTCAAGTTCTGTTGTCCGCTAGCTCAAGTGAGGAGAAGCTAAAGCCCCTGGTCATTGGTAAATCAACTAGACCAGGTGCGTTCAAAAAACCTAAATCCTGCAAACCTTTCAGTCCCCTGAAGATCAAACCAATCTGCGTGGGTGATCACTGCTATATTTGAGCAGTGAATCAGTAGTATCGATACTGAAATGCTGAAGAAGAAACGCTTCATTATCCTAACAGTGGACAGCTGTCCTAGGCACACACACACACGTAAAAAATCTCACAAATATTACACAAGTTTCCGTTTCCAAACATGACCTCACAAATTCAATCTCTGGGCCAAGGGATCATCAAGATATTCCAAGTGCACTACCGAGCCCAACTCATGCAATGACCTATGGCAAAATTGCATGCGAATGATTCTCATACGGAAGGCACTTCATCTGTTGCTTTATCAGAGGCGTAGCGTAGGGTGGGGCCGTGGGAGGAGCGGTCCGCCTCGGGCGGCACATGACAATGGGCAACATTTTTAGTATACTTGATTGTTCATACCAAGAGTAAATTCATCAAACTTACTTATGATGTAGCGAGAACGAACGGTAAGGATGCAGAGTCTTCATTGCCAACGCACAACGGGTTCACCTGCTAACACACACACGCGCACTTAAAGAGGACAGTTCCCGACCACCAAGCAGCACGCATTGTCCTTTCGCTGGACGTTACATTCATGCCCTGACCTCTGTCACTTGATAGGTCAGCGTTCGCCGAGTTGCCCTCGTATCTTCGCTTCCGCGCGTCCTATTCCGACCAGGATGGATTCGTTCTGATGCACTTGCTTTGCTTAATCGGGGTTGCGTCGCTCTCCTCGTGATTATTTCTGGAGGCACGACCAAACGCGTATCTCTTCGGAAATTGGCGCTCTTAACCAATACGTTCCCGGCTCTTCTCGGCCTTGACCTAACATCGTTTGTCGTTCGTTGGCCCTTTCCGGCTTGCCCCGTAGGTCTCGAGCTTCTTTGTCGAGTTCCGTCCCCGGTGCCCTCGTTACTTTTCATCTTCCTCTGTTTTTGCGGCTTGTCCGTTCTGCCAGTGATTCTCGCCTTTCCTATCACCACAATATGACCGGAATGGTAAAATAATGAGTGATAATCAGACTGTGAGACCAAAGATGAAATTGGTACTGCAAACGTTGATATCCGGGCAACAGAAAACGACATTGACATCATGCATGCAGCGGGAAATGTTTTTAAATGCTGATGCAGAAGATTGCGCGCGGTTGAGAAATGGAAATACAACCACACACGTTGGCATGATAGCACGCACATCAACCGATTTTATTGATGTCTGTCATTGGACTGTTAAGATTGGCCTGGGAATTCACACCATGCTTGTCCAGCTCTGGTCTACTGTCTTGTAACACCTCGATCATGATTTCAATAAATGATGCTACCTGGAATTACTTCAAACGCTGATGCTAGGGAGCTAATAATAAAGTAGTTATTTCGGGATTTCTGTAACGGTGGGTGAAGATTGCGAGTGAGACCCTGTTTTGTTTCTGCTGCAGGGTGTTTTCAACGGGATAGTCTAGTTTTTCGGCTGATAGGAATTTCAGAAACTGGTGAAAACTAATTTCAAAGCACGTGAACACGAATCTAGTAACTCACGGGATCAGTCACTCTTCAACCGCGATCCGGCTAGTCGAAGGAAAGTCAATTGGCAAAATGGAGCTATCACTTATAGAAAAGGAACCAACGAGGTGGCGTGAAATAATAGCGAGAATACTTGATATCATCAGGTTCCTCACCAGACCAAACATGACACTGTGCGGTCACCAAGAAGGCATCCAGGATAACAAATGAAGCCAGTAAAATAGAGAAACTGTTTTAGAGTTTGGAAATTTGTTGGCCCAAGTATGAACCTGTTCGTGAACATTTGGTGACAGTTCAATTAGGAAGGAAAATCAGCACTTTTTTTATTTTCGCCACACGTTCAAACTTAATTAGTGAACATTTTGGTAAAGCAGGCGAGAAAGAATATCATAGATCGGGTGAAGAAAAGCGTCTATTTGTTTACTATTTACTAGTACTCCCGATATATCTCACAAAAATCAGATGAGTGTGATGACGTGCTAAGTAGAACTTAATAAAAATGTAGTGACACGTGAGGAGTCGTTTCTGTGTCTCATTGAGACCAACAGCAAAAGACCAAAGGGAATTTTCAGACCGATTTTGAGAGAATTGCAGAAGACTGGAGCTCCGATGACTATCCTGGACAGGCATTTGACAGTGCTGCTGTTATGCCCGGCTACCGATCCGGAGTGCACGGACACATCGAAATCAACCCAGAACTGCATTTGTGCGATACATAAAACATTCCATGAAGCTGGCTTGTGTACGTGCAGCTTCTACGACGGTTTGTTCCATTGCACTTTTTGATACAAAGGTCCGGTTATTCTAGAACTTTTTTCATCCAGCTTTTACTTGAATGTCTTGCTAAAACGTCACCAGCCTAAATATTAAGCGGCTTAAAATCTAGATGGAGTAGTCGAGCAGGTGCTGTAAATTCTGGGGTGAAGAAATACTCGGAACTCGTCATTTCTCTGAAACATTTCGAAGAATAAGAAAGTGCAACCACAAGCTCAGATGCACCTTGAATTCTCATCTCGGTATTGTCGTTTCCCTTTTTGTTTCTGAGCCTTTTAAATCTGTTCCCAGTGAAAACAAGGATGTCTAAACAAAAGGGCTGGATCTGCAACAAAGTTCTGTCAAGCTTGCAATGTTAAGTTGACCATTTTCAGAAGAGAGAGAAAATGGTGAACATTGCAGTAGATGGATCCAAAAGACGCCACATTGAGTTGGGGACAAGCATGAAACATCGAATCCGCCGAAAGAAACGAATGGACGGTGAAGAATTGTTTGATATATTGATGGGATTTTATGCTGAAGTAATACGGGCGATACTGTCTGACGAACTGATGAACTGCCATGAGTTTCAGAAACTGCATGACTTTGCAAACAAATATACTTTTATTGCACTATCAAATCTGCTTGATGATAACTATGATTATCCGCCTAGCGAAGTTGAGGAAAATATAGAAAAAGAGGTATTATTTGCCAAAAGAAAATCACAGCATTTTGTGAAACCTTGAGGAAACGGCAAAATTAGTGGACCAATTGAACTTTTGAGCTTTCTACAATACTATCATCTTGGGGAATCAGATGCACATCTTTCGTACCCGAACCATTAGCACTGCAAGCTGAGAGAGCGCATTTTCAAAACGCAATTCTATAACGATATACCTTAAGCCATCAACGAGTCAGACAATGCTCCCGCCTTTGCAGTTCTCCACATAGAGACGGCATTTGCCGATGGACTGAATTTCGATAAGGTTATGGACACTTTTGCCTCAAGTAATGCACGAAAAGTGTATCTACATTGTGTTCACGAGTATTATATCAATACAAATGCCTGCATTTACGGTGGCTGTGAAGTTGGATCTTTGGCTGTTATATGAAACGAAATATTAAAGGATTGCTCGCAATTGTGTGGCTTTACGGATTTACAACTGCCAGCGGGCGACAACTTTAGATGCTCCCCGGGCTGCAAGAGTAGTTGCTACGCGTTGGATGCTGTGCTTTGAATAAGTTCTGCTCAGTTCAAAGTTCAACCAGAAATAACCCAGAAGTGTTTCAGAAAAGCCAGATTTGTTCAGTCTTTCGAGAGGGGGACGGTCGACTTATTAGGCATTCCATCTCCATTGACAGAATTCGACGGAATAGATTTTAAAGAGTTTGTTGCAATGGATGATGAATTGGTAACTTGCACTGAAACAGACAGGTTCTATTTCCCAAGCGATACTGACTTCGGTACTCCCCAACGGAACCAAAGAACAAACACCTGATAATGCTGATAAAGAAGAAGCAGAAGAAGAAGAACGACTGCATGATTTAAATCATTTGCTGTGGAAAATTATTAAAGCATGTTGAATAGTGTAGCTTGTACTGAGAGCGCTTTACCAGTTAACTTGATAATAAGCGAAAGAAACAAACAGAGATTAGCTTTTATTCAGTTTTATTTAACGCGAAACGCACCTTGCGTTTTGATTTATTATAACACTGTAAGGTTGAACTGCATTTGTCCTTACCAGAGCACTCATTTAATGCTTGCCTAAATGAATCCGAGAATAAAATATCTATTTATTTATAAATGGGTATATGTAAAATTTTCTTACCATACTACTGACAAAGGGAAATTAGGTTACCTCAATTACTGCTAAAGAAGCTCCGTATCTTGATCACCTCTCTAGGTTGACCACTTTGATCCAGTCCCTTAGGTGGTCAACTTACGGTGGTTCTACTGTACAATAGGATGTTATCCGTCCACCACGGTTTCAGTCAAATCCTGGAGATCCGTCCCGTTTTTATCGGGACGCATATTTCCTCTTAATCGTTCGGGATTTCCAGCCTGCGACAGTAACATTTTAAGTTAGGGATTTGAGGCCCAATCCCACCTGCTAGCACGGCTGCGACCTACCTGGTAATATTATAACTCTCTAACAGGTAAGGCTGCTAGTTCTGTCACGGCACCCCTCATTTCGCATTAACAAGCAATTTTCGAACATGATCCCAGCAGACATGACTTCATTTCATAAGCCGCTAACTCTTTGTTGATTGCTTTGTCTTGGTCCTCGGCCAATCTGCCGAGCGACGACTATTTTTGCTCCGTGCACTCTGTGCTATTCATCAGTACGGGTAGAATAGAGACGCTGCTTAGATATTCTGCCTGACAAGTAGATTGAGGCCCAGAAATCCCACTTACCGGGCGCTTGGTATGGACTTCGAGATGGATTTTCACATGATCAAGTGCGGATTACTGTCTTCATCGTTTTGACATACGCAAGGATGGATCAATGAACGTGTCCAAGTGCCTTATCTGATGCACAGATTGAAACAGGCCTGGGGTTTCGTGCACTGATATCTCATCGTTGCTGTTGTCGCTTACACCAGCTCCAAGGCCTTAGCCTACTGATAAAACGCGCCGAAAATAGGAGACCACTGCGCTGCACTGACCTTGCGTGCTCCTCGGATTGGACACACATCCAGATGCAGCTGATGTTTAGTAGGATGAATCATACATATAGCCGAATGATGGTTGCTGTAGAGCACCAGGGCTGCATTTGACGTTACGCCTGTTGGTTGTATTATTGAGTTGAATACAAGTATGAACATCAACCTTAATAATTGCACCTTGATTTGCATATTTTTTTCAAAGGTGGCTTTTGATTCGAACTTTGATCAATTCGTGAATGGCGTACTTCATGAAATCGCGGTCAAGAGCACTGAAGAACTGGCAACCGTGTATTTGTGGAGAAAATATTCACGCTCCACGTTCCGGCTGAATCGAACTTCTATCACCGGTGACTCCTCATTGCCAAAGCGATCGAGTAGTAAAACCCCGACCAAGAAGCTCAAGCACTCCAGGCACTCTAAACGTTGCGAACTAACTAGCCCTTCAAAGCCGCAGGATCCCACACTTCCAGGTGAGAATCCATAACGATGTAGACAGCATATAAGCTTTCCACAACCGTCTCGTTTCATGTTTCATTTAGGCATGCCGGTTGCGGCGGTCCTTAGGTGCACAAGTTCGCTTTTATTTGTATACCCGTTTGGCGAGTTCCCGTTACACAGCGTTTAAGGGTCATTGAGTGGTCTTGGTATGTTAACGCAATTATTGGTTAGGTCTTTATCGTTGCTAGAGGAAAACCCTGTTCTCAAAGACTTATTGGACCTCCTTCACAAATCAGCGTGGAAGGAATGATAGCTTCGCAATTGCCGTACAACCACGTTGACATCCTTGCCATATTTATCGGTGAGCTTGAGGATTTTCCTCTCATGAAGCTTCAAGATCACTTAAATATAGTGGTCAAGCGTCCGTTCATTAAAATTTTAAGTAAGCCACCTTGCCAGTTGGTATTTTGCACTTCAGGATGTGAATTGGAATCTCCTAATAAATGCCCGCTGATTCGACTCTTTTCCATACTGAGATAACAGCTTTTTCTTGCTATTTCTTTTTGTGCATGATTGGCTACCCATCGGATGCACACCAATTATCGATGTAGGGTATTCACCAAGCACTCCTACTTATTCCGTAACTATTTGTTTGCACTGACGCCCCTCCCACTGGCAATCTCTCATTGGTCCAGACTATTGTGATGTTAGCCACACTTAACCCTTCAGCTCTAGACAACATTTACTTCTTAGACACATCGCATACCACCTCAGCTTGTAATGCAAGACGGGAGGAGCTGCTCTTCATGTGCCATTGTCTTCCTTCCATGTGGTCATAGGTGTTTTCAGTGTTTTACTCTTGTATTTCCCCTCCAAGGCACATGGGTCGAATGCAGTTTGTGTACAAAATGGCGCTACTTACCTGATGTTCACGACCCAAGTCTGATTGACATCAGCTGGCACTGCGCATTACACCCGGCCAGTGGGGGAGTCGTCAACGCGTGCGATAGACCTCAAAGTCCCCTACCAGCAGACGCGGATGACGAATGTATCTACACCAAATTCGCCGTTGGGTCTATTGTGTGGGCAAAACTCCAAGGTAAGTTGGCTGATACTTCACTCTTATCTCTGGAGTGAAACACAATTGTCTACTTGAATTTGTGTTTGATGACAGCCGAATTTATGTGTCAACCGGACTTGCATATTTAATGACCGTTTACTCTATGGAAGCCGAGGTCAAGGTCGCTCCACTCGCTACCACCTACTTTTTTCACAGAGCAGTTTACAGGTGGCCAATTAATGAAGAACCATTAGATTCGTGGTATAACATACCGGGAGAAGTTCACAGATGAGTAGAGTAGTAGGTGATCAAACCTGGTGCGCATACTGTGGATGCTCGCTGCGATGACACACCACTCTTTCTGCTGTACCCAAGGACGCCGCGGATTTTTGCTTTACCGCGTTGGATTCTAATTTTGCTTTAGGAATACTGTGTTATACATGCTTTCTCGGTGTGAATTGTGCACCAACACTTTGCTTTTGGTGTATTTTTCCATCTGTGCAAACTTGGTGGGTATGCTCCGGCTACTGCCGGAGATCTCATTGATTGGCCCAGCTGTCGTCTGTGTCCGCCATCTTGCATTTGTTCTACAACAATTTAACCGGTGTCTGCCAGACCACCAGGTTGACCGACAGAGTTTGAATTCAGCATACCAGTGTAGACATTCTAACGGACGACTTCCGCAGATCTGACAGCCACAATGTCACGTACTGCTTGCCCACAGAAAGCTAAGCCTAAAGCTTCCGAAATGAACTTTAGTTGTGGCGTAGACAGCTGTGTAAATCTTATGCGATTTGGAATAGAATACAAAAACTACCGAAAATACTTCCATTCTCGAGGTGCTCGCCTTAGTCTCAGCCAGAAAAAATTTTTAATAGTACAACCGATTCTCTTTGATTCAGCACTGAGTGTACATCTCTTCCACTCGTCAGATGTATAACTGTGTTGACGCAGAAGTACGATAGGCTGACAGAGATGGTAGAGCAAGTAGCGGCCGTGAAAGCTGTCCCACATGCACCAGACAGATTAGTGCCTCGAACTCGATGCTCAACACCAAGCTCCAATTCAGAACAGCGTAAGAATAACGATCCAGAGTTAGCCACCCCGACACTAGCGGCTGCTCATAAAGATGCGTTCGCCACCCTGAATACTGTTAAAGGGCCAACAACATACGCGTCTGTTCTTGCTACCCATATGACGGAGGCGCCTCCAATCTTAACTCCGCCCGCTGCCAAACGGGTTACTACTACCAATATCACCATGGGACTCAAGACCCTAGCATTTGTCCAAACGAAGAAAGCAGCCACTGGTCCCTCCAAAAAGGAGAACCTGAAACACCACCATAATTCGCTGACTGTTATATGTTCTAATGTGACGGAATCTGGGGCGAACGCCATAAAAGATAAGATACTAGACTCACTCCCCTGCTTGTATTCCAATGCACAAGGTCTTCTCAGCAAGATAACCGAACTTCGTATTCGTCAGCCCTCCACGCCTTGGGACCTACTTTTGGCCACCGAAACGTGGCTGAACACAGAGATCACGGATGCTGAGATTGCAATGCCCGGTATGACTTCCATGCGCAACGAGTAACCTAGCAGAAGAGGGGGAGTGCTCCTATATTATCGATCCGAGCTGCATGTTGATATCATTGAGGACCCAGAATCGAAAGTCGTCGATTCTCTTTGGTGTCGTATACACCTAAGACGTGGCGATGTGTGTTTACTAGCAATAGTTTATCGCCTTCCAATGTCCACCTTGGAAATGGATCATTGCCTAGCTTCTGCGATGAAACGAGTCCTGGCACGACCATACAGTCACGTCTTTCTGGTGGGGGACTTCAACGTGCACGCAACCAAATTTCCAGCATCGCACAGGGATCAATTCAAAGCGGATTTGCAAGAGGTGATCGTCGATGTACCTCTGCACAACCCTGTCAACACTCTCATGCGATTCCGAACGGGTGACACATCCTCTGTTTCGGACCCCGTGCTCTCCAACGAGGAACTAATGGTCGACACGGTGACCATAGATGCACCACTTGGCTGTAACGATCACGCGATTTTGCACTTTTGTTAAGTCTGTTACTCGGAGTGCATCAGTGAGAACAACATGGAAACCTATGTCGTTACACATTACGATATCCTGTCAAACCTCATTCAAGACACCGACTTGTCCTTCATGGCCGAGAAGCCGCCCGAGGTCGCCTGGTGTTCGTCACCTAATTCACTGAGCTAGTGGCAACTACGTCAGAAAGCAAGATGTTTAGTTCGAAGCAAGTGAATTTGTTCCTTAGGAGCCTTACTAGCAAATGCATGGGCTTAAGGGATTCAGCCTGACGCGATTACAAATCCTGTTCAGGTAACCTCACCTGGGTTCTTACAAGGCTCAAGGAAACCACTGCGTCAACTTGATCCGCAAAGACAAACTCCAGTACAAACAGAACTTAATGGTGAAGTTCAGTACAAATCCCAAGTTCCTGTATAAACACGTCAATAAGCTCCGTAGAGTGCAGCGCGGTAATCGGTTTTACGTGCAACAGATGGTCTTGCGTAAACCGCACAAGATGCAGCCAACATGCTTCGCCAACACTTCATCCATACTTTCCGGAGTGAATCATCATTTCATCCGCTTTTTACACAGCTTCCATCTCCACCCGGGTTAAACTATGTATAGTTCACGGCAGCCAACGTGATGTCATTACGCGTGCACAGCTTACCTGGCGTGGACGACATCAAACCGAAAGCATTGAAGACAAGGGACATAAACCTTGCCGAACCACTAGCTTGGTTTTTACAATGTTGTCTCGACAAAATACAGGTTCCCGCAATGTTAAAACATGGACTAGTCACTCTTAGTTACAAACGTGGTAATCCTGCGTAGCCCTCGAACTACCGTTTAACACTCTTCTCCCATTTTTCTCCAAAGTAATGTAATGTTTATTTTCAGAGGCTCTCATGGGATATCTTGTGGGCAGCAACATCCTAGTGTCACAGCAACACGGATTCCGTCGAAATCGATCCTGCTGCTGACCCAAGCAAGCGGGACAGAGTCAGCCGATGCCAGAGTGGGAGTCGACGTCTTCTACCTGGACTTCTCAATCTTTTGGACTACAGCATTCTCCTTCACAAGCTTCGAAGCTATCGAATCGATAACCCTGTGCTCGGCTTGATCGGCAACTTTCTCAACGTCAGCTGAATGTGAGAGTCCGCAGCTCTATTTCCGACCCAATTGACGTCCATTTTGGTGTTCCGCGAGGATAGGTAGTGGGGCCACGTTTATTCCTAACATTCATTAACGATCTTGCCAGTGTACTGCTGTCCGATTTTTTACTATATGTAGATGAGGTCAGAATTTGGCATGATAGCAGGATATGGGATGATCACATGGCATTGCAGAGCGATCTCGACAGGGCTTATGCGTTGTCATCCGACAACCAGCTCCAGTGCAACGTGACCAAGTGCAAAATCGTAAGCACATGCCATCAGTTTATCTATGAATATCGACTTGAGCACCAGCAGTTACAATGTGCTTCCCAAGAAAACGACCTCGGCGTGATCGTTCAGGACGGTCTTGGTTGCTCGAGACAGGCTAAAAAGGCATCAAAAAGAGCCAGTCAACGTCTTGGACTCTTACGGAGGGTTTTCCGGGATTTTGAGCCATAAATCTTTCTGCAAATGCTGAACGCCTACGTGAGATCTCACGTGGAATCTGCGAGGCAGGTCCGGCGTCCCTGGCGCAAGCGCAACATCGATGTACTTAAAGCTCCACAACGTAGAGCGACCAAACTCGTTAGAGGATTGTTTCATCTTTCTTACCAACGCAGACTGCAGTCCCTGAGATTGTACAGTGGTAAATTTCGACGTAAGAGAGAACTCATTACGGTTTACTTAATATTGACGATCCCAACTCACCCATGTCGCAGTCTGTTGCAGCTGAGCCAAACTACAAATCTGAGTGGTCATCAGCACAAACTGGCTATGCACTACAGTCGACTTGATTCTCGATGAAACTTTTTTCCCTTCGCGTGTCCCCTCCCTGGAATGCTCTTCCGACTCAACTTATCCTTGCCCCTACATTAACGCTTTTCAAAAAACGCCTTGATGAAGCGCTTTCAAATTTGTATAATCCGATATAGTCCGTTCCACTTGGAGGACGAAATAATGCCAAACTAACCATGTGCTTAACGGACCTCTCCTCAATGTGGCGGTAGGGATACATGCAGAAGTGTCCATGTGAGTAGCCTAGATGTATCTAAACATACCACATCTGTCAAATTAAGAAAAATATGAGTGAGTTGTCGTTTCCTTTTTATTGCTCACGCATTTCCTGAACTATAATAGTTCGCTATACTATCCTGTGTGTGTGTACATCCCATTCCTACTTCAAACTATCGTTATGCAATAGTGCATCTAACTCGGTGGATGATTAAAATAACGATTTACTTATTCGATTAGCCTTTAAATTTTAATTTTTACCCTAACCATCCTATGGTCCTTGTCAAGCACTTGTTTTTTACCCTCGATAAATCATTGTTCATTCGCTGTAATTTTTGGTTTCTTACAATGGTTCGTGATATAATACGGAAGGACATGACAACCATCTGGCTGGAACCATCCAAGGATGTGGATTTTGTGAATTATCCTGTAGGATTTCTAGAGCGTGGTGAAGTTTGTCTGACCGCAAAACCATTGATATTCCGGAAAAGATTGTCCTCGAAGCCTTGAAAGCCAGCAATCCGCATAGACAACAACTACAGAGATGCTGTCAATCGTCATGCGATATTGAGTTTCAGCACTTACAAAATCACTGTGCATACGTAGCCAGGATCTGGTAGTTCTCTAATGTCTTCAGCTGCGCCGCTTTTCAAATTTGCATTTCACTGTCACTGCGAATAGCCTCGGACGCCTACGGAAAAATGCTTTGTTGCTTGTTCCGCGACACAGTCCTCATCCGCATGAGCCTTAGGATTATGACCGGAAAGCATGGGATTGGAGAACGTGATTGATGTTTGCCTGTCACCCCTAAAGCGTTAGGAA